TAGATCTAATCATTATCATCTATGAAGTATCTTCTAATTTAAACAAATTTATGGCTGGGGCTTAAAATTTTAACTTTTGAAATGACACTATTTCATTGTTTTACTTATACCACACCCATACAATTTATCAGAGGAAAAAATGTGAAAATTTAAGATAACATCAGCAAAGCTACTAATCAAAAGGCTTTTCCCTAAACCCATTCCCTTGTATTGTTGTGTTGGGAAGCTTTTCATTAACCAAATTAAAAACAGCAATTTCCAACAAAAACCCAATTCAAGCAAGTTCCATAAAATGCACATTTTATTCCATATCATGAAAAAATATCCACATTTAAATAAAGTGTGAAAAAGTCAATCCTCCCTGATGAAATACAGTTTATTGTGCTGAAACCCAGAATTCTTTTGGGTTAGAAACTTCCACCTGCCAATTCATTTTTTAAAAATCATTATTTCTTGAGAACAAACTTTAAGTAAATTGGTAATCACCACAAACTTTCCAACTGCAATTGAATGTTGATCATAAGTATTCCAGAATTAATGCTAAAATCACAAATTTAAAATATCTTCACACAACCTCTTGGCAATCAGGTGATAAGTCAACAATACATACAAAATTTCTAATCACATGTTGCAATATCTTGGTCTAAGTAGAAAAAATGATCTGCTTAGCATGAATCAGATTTTAAAAACTGCACTCAAGTACTACTTAGCATAATGGTATTGAATATCTCACATGAAATTTTTGCATTATTTCCTTGGTCAATACATGAATCAAATATTTCCAGTAAATTAACTCTTATATGAAGAGGCAGTTTTAGGATTTTCAAATTCTCACAAATATGATTGTAGTGGCAAAAACATTTAAGAATTTGCAAAAATAAGTTACCATAGTAACATCAGTGTTATACACAGGAATTTACATTTTAGTATACAAAATGATGCAACTAGTGTAAATAAAATCACTAGAACATAGGATAAAAATAAATCTACAGTTTTCAGTATATCACAAATATGCACATTTTAACTTGTACTATGGTACTGAGCACTTCTAGAAGTCATTGTTCTTTCAATAACCCCAAAGGATGTTTCAGAGTAGAAATGATTCTAAACCATTTTCCAATTCCAGTGTGATATTATGAGAAATCTGTTCATGTAGATGTGTGTTCCCCCTTCCCTCAGATATGAGTACGTCCTAAGGTATGCAGGGGCTGCTTGGTGGCAGGTGCCAGGGAAGCCAACCCTAAGGAGATGTGAGCGGACATCATGCCTAAAACCTCTCTGATAAAGGATCGTGAGAATCACATGAAAACATTCCTACAGGGATAAAAAAAGCAATGCTTGCCACTAATTCTTCTAGAGATGAAATATGCTAAATAATCTTCATTTCAAATGAAAGTACATTTGGATTTTGTGTATGTTAACAATTCACATCTGTGACGTAAGATACCCATATTAAAGACTCACATGTACCAAACTTTTCCTAATATGGAATTAAAAATGAATGTTGTGATTTGCCATAGTTTACTAGCTAGGTACTCTTCCTGTTTGCTCAATCTTGTCCCTATCAGGAATCTCTTCCACATATTTTAATCAGAAAAGTTGGGGAGTGGATGAGGAATCCAACACAACATCAGCTCTGTCCTCAAAAATAATCTTTATATTGCTTTTGTCACGAAATCTAATTTCCCTAACTCAAGGTAGAGTCTGACCACAGAAAGAAGTGGTTAAATTTTATTTTGTCAAAGAAGATTTAGTTGAGAATTGGGATAAAACATTTGGCATTGAATTACTGAAAGCAGTTATTATGAATATTCAATCTGGTTTATTCAGGTATCTAGGTGGATATTTTGGTCTTGACTGTTCAGTCAACAGTTGATAATTAACGTTAAAAAGTGGTCAGATCCTCTTAACTTTACTCATTCAAGATGCAGCCCAACCCCCCAAGTGCTTAGGGACCTGGGATTCTAGATCAGAACTAGAAGTCCTCAACTTTTTGGTCAGTAGGACAACACTCACTTATTTTTTAAAAAGGCCCAACATTTGACAAGCTTTCAAACTGCTTCCTTATATTTCATTAAAATCTTAGGCAAGTTGATGACCATGTATTATAAAGAAACAAGCAAAAACTATGAAAAAGACACAGAAAAACCAATAACTACTATCGCCTCCCTTTTCTACCTTTCCCTCAGTTATAACTCTGGCCAACCATACTACAATTTTAATCAGCTGTTCTTTGGCCAAATACTTCAGCAAATAGTACAAGTCATGACCTCATTTAAATAAGAATGCAGTGATAATGTAGAATTGGGAATGGAAGTGAGAGTAACCATGAAAAGCTTTAGATAGTGTCACTGAGGCCCCTCATAGTTATTTCAAAGAAAGTAGGATGCCCCTTTTCATGGTTTCCTCTGGCTCTGCTATCAATAAAGTAAAAACAAGAAGTTCCAATTGAAAAGCCTAGCGTATAATGTGGTAATATGTTGCTTCTTGCCTCTGTTTTTCCTTTATTCTTTCTTTTTCTTTTTTCTTTCTGCCTTCCTGCCTTCCCTTCCTTCCTTCTTTCTTTTTTATTCATTATCTCAAGATATTTGCTTTCAACATCCCGAAGGGTAGACCACGTAAATCACATCTTAGAAATTAGCATTTTTTATTGGAAAGAATTAATTTCTCTAAAGTAAATATACATAAAATAAGATCATTAAATTTGGAAATAGGAACAGAAATTGTCATGCTAAACAGAAATAGTTCATTTGGATAATGCATTTAATAGTAGTCTGACCAAGAAGCCAACATCTGTGTAATCAATAAAAAAATCTGAATAATTTACTTACAGCTCAATGAGTCAAAAACAAAATTAAAAATAAAGTCTTTCTGGAGTCTCATCCAAATCTTAATATTAAAAATAAAAATTACAGAAAAAATTCTAAATATCTTTTGCTTTCCATAAGTATCATGCATTATCTCTTCACATTAAAATTTAACTGGAAGAAAACTATTGTTACCTGTGATTGTATGTCACATTTGCTTCTTATAATCACATTTGGTAATTTACCTCCAGTACTACCTTTCAACTACTGGAAGAACTAAAGGAAAATTCCATTGTAGAACTGGGAACTTTTTACTTATAACTGTTAAAATTTCAACCTCTGCCATTTATTTATTCTGAAATATCCTGAAGAAACCAAACATTTGCATTTGTATTATTGAGTATAAGTTTTAAAAATTATTTTGATTTAACAGGCTTTTAAAGACACAGTGACTTAAGAGACTTAGAATTAGTGTTTAAATGATATGTCCTTTACAATGTCAGTATTCTATGAAGAAATGCATTTTTTATAAGGTCTTACTGCCCGAGTTACAATCTCAGCTTCACCACTTATTAGTTATTAATTAGGAATTGCTATCCTGGACAAGTTCCTTAACTATTTCTTCACAGGATTGTTACAAGAATTAAATTTGATGATACAAATGAAGTGATTAGTATACTGAACATCGAATAAATATGAGCTTAGTTAACCTTAAGTTTAATTCCAACCCTAAGAATAAACAAGCAAAAAGTTTCTTCTCAGTCTTCTCTCAGCCTTTGTCTGCAACAATGTTCCTGATTCCCAGTCCAAAGACCCCATATCCTTGACCCTCACAAAGCATGCAGATGTATAGATCTTATCTTAAAAAATCAAGAGAAAATCTTGACATGGAATACTTAGTGGGCATTAAAACATTTTAGTTCATGCCCCTCTTCCCTATAGAACATGACTCAAAATTTTAATTAGACTGCATTTTGGCTTGTGTCTAGATGTCCCTCCAAAGCCTCATGCAGTTATAGATGGGGGTTTTTCAGAGGTGGCTGGATCTGGAACCTAAGTAGCCTGGATAAGATATAAGAGGTAGAAAGATCTGTGGTTACCCCTTTCTTGCTTTGGTACTTTCTACTCGCCATGAACTGTTTCTCCTTTGCGATGCCTGTCTTCCATGCCACTCCTTCTTGAAGCCAGCCAACTATGGACTGAAACCCCTACCAACTATAAGCCAAATAAACCTTTCCTCCCTTAACTTTGGGTGTTGGGTATTTTGTCTCAGCAACAAGAAAAGTAACTATGATACACTGTATGATCAAGTACAAATTCTAGCAGCATGTAAACAAGTATGTCAACATATGCTTATCTATTTTGTTAATTTTTCAAACACTTTCAGATTCTATCATGCAATTTAATAAATTAAATACCCTATAAATAATGAAAAAGTTACCTGCTGAACAGTATGTGGAAAGAGATGCTTTGTTTGTGTGTCTAAGTGTTCTGAGAGCTGGAAAAGGGCAAAAAAGGATATGGTGAGAGAACTACATAGAGTTTCAGCAGCCTTTGAACTTGGGTGAGAAACATTCTCTGTTCTCACCAGATGGCTGAGAATAAATTATTTTGTGTAAAATGTTTTGAAGATTAAAGTTATTAGTAATAATTAACATGGGCAGTATTTCACAAATTGATTTGTTGGATATAATTAGATATACTCATTGAATAAATTACATTGTTAATAAAGAATGTTATTTTTTTAGTATTTCTCATCCTTTAAAACGTTACGGCTCCAAACTGATTTTCACTGTAATCTTTGAAATATCATATATTTTCAAAATTATAGAAGCTATATATTAAATTCCTTTATAATGAAAACAAAATGATCACAATTGAGAATTTCATAAATACTTATTGTCATTATTTCCAACATAGAAATGGATCTAGAGGGAGGGAAAAACTGTTTTAAGTCTCTTTGTTTCAGGGGTTTGAGGAAAAAATTTTTAAAAACACTGAAATTTAAAGAAAGGATCTGTCTTAATAATAAAAGTCTATTGATTTTTTAAATGTTAAACTCATACTTTCAGGAAGAGAATTAAAAGCAAAGTCATTGTTTTTAGTATCCAGTTCTTTAGTTCTGAAAATTCCAAATGAAAATTGTTGGTAAAATCCAGGAGATGAGAAGCTGTAAATTTGGAAAAAATAAATGTATTACTTAAATAGAAAAAAAGGTGAATGCAAATGCCAAAAAGAATATAAATACTAATTAATATTAAACTTATGGGTCATTAATTTTTGCGAGTAAATGAAGCTTGAGAAAATATTGAAGATCTAAATTTCACGAGAGAGAGGTATGGAAAGCCTGACTATGCGTCTCTTTTAATAAGGGTGGGTCTGTAAGGTCATTGGCAACACTGCCTTTTTCACAGTTTACTTTTGAGGACTGAAAACCTCTCATGTAAGAACTCTTTTCTAAAAGATAACACAAATTGATACTAAAGAATTTATGCAGCGTATATAAATTGAATTTATTTCTTTTTCAAGTCCTAGGCTTGAGTTTTTAGTAATTCATATTTATTTAAATATTTAAAGATTCTGACACTGGTAAAATGCAGATTAATTCATCCTTTCCTTTTGCACAGTGATATACCACTGAAGAAAATATGCTGTAACTAAAGAAATGGGGATGTTATGATTTTTGTTTCTGTTCAATTGTCCCTTTATTGTTCCATGTCCACAAATTTTTACAGCTAACAACAGATCCAAACTTAAGCTAATTCTTCTCACTAAGAAGGCTGTACACACTTAAACAGAACAATCTATAGAAGTAACATAAAGCATTGCGCAACAGTAAAGCTAAGATAAAACAACTTTTAAAAATCTACATAAACACACGAGAGAAGACCTGATTACATCCATAAAGATTGCCAATAACCATGTTTATATCTACATGCAACTAAAACCTCCACTACGGTTACTTTTGTAGATTTGTCCCAAACGAGGATATGCAAATTCTAATTTGGAAACCCATGAGTCCATATAGCCTAACATTAGCAATCTATTTAAAACCTGAATACCTGTTTTCATCCTGATTGTGTAGCTCCATAGATTTGTTTCTCAGATTGTTTTCCCCAGAACAAGATAAGATGTATATTTTCTATAATGTCAAATTAATCTTTCTCACCTCTCTAAAGAAATAAATGTGGTGTCATGGTCTTAAGAGTTTTTGTTCTACAAACTGCTAACAACATTTAGGCTGCAAGCACAAAGTTTACACTGAGATCATGTTGATTGAAATTATTTATTTACATATGTGTAGAATACATATGTAGAACAACTGTAAGTTGTAATGCCAGGGGCATACAAGAGTGGATAACAATATAAATGTTACCAGTCATTTAGCAAATAAATAGGATTACAGTGGATAGTAAAAAGTCAAGGTCAGTGATAAGCAGTCCTCTTAAACCCCCTTTAATTCTACTTCACAAAAATATAAGGCATTTAAAAGTAATCCTTTTTTAACTTGGGCGATTATGTGCACTTTCAAAACATACCTAATTCTTGATTTGTAATAAACATTTTTCAACTCTAGTTTGATAAAAAGATTAGCAAAATCCAATGAGAGATCTACCTGTAAATATCCTTTCCAGAACACAAATTTTTTCCTTTTGTTTCTATGTGCTTGTTCTTTTCCCAAAGGTTCATAAACAACTGTAGTGATAATAGTTTGAGTGTATCCTTTAGGATACAAGGTTACCTTTTCAGAATGAACAAACTAACAAAATGAATCTTGTTTTCAAAAATAAAAAATAGTTAATTTAAACTACCAATGTTAATAATTATATAACTTTCTATATTAAAATACTATCACCTAGGACAAGATCTTATGATTTTCAAATGCTGTTCAAATGGTTTTTCCTTATTTAACTTATTTATTATTTTTTTTAGTTCAAGTTATACATTGAAAAATCAATGGGCCATCAAAAACGATTCTCTCATAATTAAAAATTTTGTTATAAGAACACTGATCCATGTGGCTCATGTATCATAATTATATTTATGCAAGAAGTTAAAGGATACTCCCTACCTTAAATACTTATAATTTGCACACTTCTACTCACAAAATTGAAAATAACTCCTGAGCAATATGATTAGGTGGACCTTTGTCTGTTGTTCTTCCTACCCTCAAAAGCTCGTCATTTTCTCCATGTTTATTTGGTTAGTATTTCTAAATTCCCAGTTAATTAACAAGTCTTACGCTCACATGCAACTGACTAATAATTACATAGCAGCCTATGCTTCTTGCCAACAACCTCTGACCAGAAACTTTTCTATAAAACCTAGAATATTTAGATAGAGAGCACATCAAGGCTGATATGCTATGAAAGAAAGAAAAGAAAAAGGCTAATTTGTCTTACTATGATTTTCATCTGAGAGAAGAATGACTTTCCATTGACCTAATAATGTCTTGATGTAAGAAGGGATCAGTTCTGATTTTATTTCAATATTCATTCAGGAAATTGAAACATTGAGCACTCTGAAAACAGTTAACTTGCCCTAAATTACCCTGCTAGATTGTGACAAAAGTACATTCAGAAATCTGACACAAAACTTACTCATCCTAGAGTGTTTTTTAAAAAATCTTTCTCCACCTGTTTTCCATAAAAACCACAATAGCAATACTCGTATATCTAATAAACAAATATTAAAGTACAACATTCACATAATTACAAAGTATTCATATTTTAGAATTATCCATGTATGATACATACATTCAAATTTACCTACATGAAATTTTGGAAAACAGACTCAGAGAAAACATCATAAAGATAAAAATGGTACAAGATAGCAGAATTCATTAGAAATAGGACAAATAATTTCACAAGTATCAGCCACTGCATACTTCAAAACAGCCACTTCTCTGCAGACTAATTTTATTAAAAGCTTTCAAAAAATTTTTTGCTTATTCAAAATTGAACATCAAATAGATCAGATCTCACATATGAACAAATCTCCTTAAATTTAAGAGAAAATGTGATTTGCATCTGGGCTCCAATTGGGTTAATTTTTTAAATGACATTTTAATTAGTTATCATCATTAATATTCCCATTGAAGTGCTGGATACTACAGGAGCAGATTATTTGTCCCAGCAGCAGTTTAAAACTCCAAACTGTCAAATCATCTGTCTTCTGATCTTTATAAAGCTGTGTGCCTTTTTCCCCTGATACTCAGGACATTTGTACTCCTATTCTTAATGTGAGACAGAATTAGTTCATAATAGAAATTTTCCACTTTAACAATGAAGTAAGAGTCTGCATTCAACCACCATGACTGAATCATTTTAAGTATCATTCATGCCAATGTGGGACACTAGGAGCTTTGCCATTGTCATCTACCCTGTGTGTTTCTGTTTACCTTTATTGCAAGCTCTTCCATCTTTTAGATCATGTTTAGTGCAATGCTGTCCTGCCTGATACAGATGGATAAAACTTGCTCATATTTCCATTTCTATTTGACTTTTGCTCTTGTGTTACAACCACCTGTCCTGGATATAGCATCTGATCTTATAGTCTAATAATAGCATAGAAAAGTATTGACGATGTATATGTTGCCTTGGAAAATGTTTAGAATTTAAATATATATATCCATTTATTCCTATTAGTACTTTGTTCAGCAGTGTAATAGTAAAAAAATGTATTCTGGATTCACCAAGAATATCTGTACAGTGTAAGAAGAAAACATGCAGTCATCTGGTCCCCCAAAGAGCTTCCACAATACACTGGTTGAAATACAGAACATGAATGCATCATGATTGCATGTATTACAGCAGGTGTCTACCCTTCATCCAAATCTGAGTAAATTCTATGAGAAGAATTGTGAAATCTGGGAACCAGAAAGACTACTCTATATACAGTGTTTGCTAAATGTGTGTGTCTCCACTGAAAAGAACAGACTGCATTCAGGACCACATCACATCATGCATGTAGAGAGCAGGGATGTCTGCAAAAGAATACTGTGAACACTGCACCCTAAATAAACAATTAACCCTTCCTGCTTATCGACAGCCCAGCATAGTTCAAAACCATTATATTCCTTACTACATATATGAATATATTTAGGTAGAGAGTGCATCACAGCTAATATTATAGGTCAACTAGGTAAGACTCTTGAGTCCCTGTCAGGACACAGCAAATATTTGCACCCCTCCTATGCAAAGGTATGAACTGCACCCTCACACCAGCCTACTGCTTCACAGTCATTCTCATATAGCTTTACATGGTTATTTCTGAAGTACATGATTAAAGTTAAGCTAACAATTTCTATACTCAGATTGTTTCACTACTCATTCCCCTTTAAAAACCTTAGCCAAACTTGACTTGAACAAACAAGGAAATGCCCTGAAATTCAACACAGATCAATAAAAGGTACCATCCTCACTATAAAAAAAAAATCCTCCAATTTCAAGACTGATTTCCATAATTACTTTATAAGCCATAATTATTTCATTCTCATATCTATGATAGGTAGATAATGTAGCATAGCATGGCAACATGGCCCCCTGAAAAGTTCCACTGTGACCAAGGGAAGCTATGTGCACAAGGAAAAGGAAAATGGAACCCACAGTACACAGTATGTTCCTAGACTCCTAGAAAGGCACAACTTCTAGGCATGTTCACAAGTTCAAATAGAAATTTTAAAATAGAATAAAGTACCATTTTGTACTTCTCCAGTCTGATTATGATAACTCATCTTTCTATTTGGGTGAGTTTGGTTGGAGATACTGAAAGACAGAAAAGCTCATAAAAATGGGTATAATAGACCAAAATATTTCATTTGAATTTGGCATCTTTTGTATGTTAATGTATATTTACAGATGATCCGATAATATACAAATTACTGCTATGTGTGTACTTTCAAGTTGATACAAACACCGACTCCCCCACTTCCAATATTCAGTGTCATTGATGCACCATTTGAAAAGTATGCCTCTCTGAACAATTTCATAAAATATACTTTAGTCAATTCTCCTGTGTTTTTAGAAATGAATGTATATTTATTCTGAATGCATATGATTGATGAGACTAACTACAGACAACACAATTCTTTGTAATTTCTTTTTTGGTTGATAATAGGCACTTTCTAAGAAGAGGATTTATTACCCAGAAGACTCTGAAACAACTCAGTCTTGACTTACCCTTTCATAAATGTATCTGCCTGAGCCACGGTAGTCTATTGTACCAACTCAGAAGAAGTTCAGCAGTAGAACTCTGTGCAAAATAAGCTTTAGAAAATCGTAACCAAAATAAAATCATGGAAAAATAATGATCTGAGTGAAGTAACTTAAAATCTCCTTCATGGTTGATTGGTTTGTTATGTTTCATGTAACAGCTCTATGAACAATAGGAATCATGTGTCAACAATCCTGTGCCTGCCTTTTCAATCTTTTAAAGTTACAGATATGCTGCAAACGTGCCTGTTTACAGTCTTTTTAAAAATTCCATATTATAACAGTTAAAATTTTGATGTGATAATTTAAATTTTTTGTATGTGTTTCTTTGCTAAGAGCCTTTCAATTCACCATTGAACAAGTTTTGGAAATACAAATGTAGAACATTCATCCCATTTGGAAAATTGGCATCTCTAACATGAATTGGTAAAAGGCCCTTATACCCTGTGGTGCAATATTTCTATAATACTATACACTATATTAAGAGTTGAATATTTATGGTATTGATAATGTCAGCTGACAAGATGGCAGCTATTCTCCAAGACAGGAGGAGTAGGGATTTCCTTACCTCAGAACTAAGGATTACTATCTAAGTATAATGTCAAAGAAGGAGAGGTATATTTGAGTGAAAATGCAATTCATGCACACAGCCCATAGCAATAAGTTCTCAATATCCCACATTGCTATCTGACATGGGCAACAAAACAGTCATTAAAATGGAGCAAACATTGCCTGTAGGGGAAAGTAACCTAACACTAAGTTACAGAAAAATATCCCAGGGAAAGAGATCAGAAAATGGTACTAACAGCTTAAAAAGCTGAATCTTCCTTGGTGTTAATCTATAATTTTAACTTAACAGAAGAGCGAAGAAATGACAGCTTGATATACTTAGCCTGAGATCAAATTTGTCATGGCAACATTGGCAGGTTGGACCCTGATTCTTCAAATATTACATTGCCTTAGATAACAAAAATCATACTTTCTTATTATACAATAGTGATTATAAATAAATGTAAAGTGTGCATGCAGTCAACTGCATAATATACAAGCAATATCTATGTTTTTAATAATCGTCTTCTTTGGCAGGCCAGAATCCAGCTGGACATGCAATATGTACATATCAAAATCCATATTGTGTTCATCGTATTGAAAGCAAGTGAAAATATATATGTATATACTGTATATACACATATATGTATATAGATGTATATACTGTTTTTAAATATATTAACAAATATATATGTATATATATATATATTAAAAGTGGATTTCATCTTTATCAGATTCAGGGGACTCAGGCCTTGAAACACTAAAAATATCCTGACATGGTATTTGGGGAGGTACTTGGAGTGGCATCTGGGATTTAGGAGAAGAGGTCTGGGGTACACTTTTTTCTGACAGTATTTTTAAAATTTCTGCCACCTGCTTTTCGAGGGCAGTCATTCTGCAGCTTAGCATCTGAATGTCCTCCTTGAGTTCATGTTTGACTTCCTGCAGTGTGGTCTGTAAGGCCTGCTCGGGGATGGGATAAAAGGGGTGCTTGGCATCAGCTTGAATGGGACTGTGCTCTAGTGGACTTCGGGCCTCACCAGCCTTATCCAAACGAAGGTCACTTTTTGTAATTCCACTGTCACAAGAATCTGTTTTCCTTAATGGGTTTTTGGTCACACTATTCTCTGAGTCACTGCCCTTGGGATCTTCTGATAAGAGCCCCATGGACTCAGCTTTTGTGACATTATTCCAGTCTTCCTTTTTCTCCTCCGGGGCTCCCATGTTGTTCTTGAGCCGCAGCCACCCTTTCCCATTTCCATTTTTCATTCTTATGGGGCTGTTGACTTTGAGACATTTCTGGTCACCACCGCCATTGGGCTTTAGCTCCATAGCATTGCGGTTGTTCGGTTTGAGGGATTCACTGGTTTTCACATAGGCCAGCGATGTCTGAATGGGAGTGATCTGTGACACAGTCACCACGCTGGTGCCAGTGATGGACGCTCCATTCTGTAAGGAGCGACTTTCTACCTGGAGCTGGTTCCTTTCAGGGTCACTCTGTGTTGAGCCCTGATTGCGCAGCTCCTTCTGCTGCTTAAACTTCTGGAAGAGCTTTCTGACTGGGTGGTCCACGGGGATGCTAAGAGTCACCTCGTTCTTCTGCCTGAGGCGCTCCTCTTCCTCCTTCTTCACATCACTGATTTTTCTGAAAATGATCTGTGGAATGGGAGAGTCAGACCGTGATTACAAAATCAGGTGAATTTATAGCATACTGGATGTGTTTTGTTTTACAAAGGAAACCCTTGAATATACAATAGAATCATTACTGAAGGGAAAAAATATCCAAATGCCGTATCTAGTATACTTAAAACCCAACATATGAACATTGACTACTTACTTAGTTCTATTTCCTCACATATCACAGGGAGATTGCAGTTGAGAAAAGTGAATAAAGGGGCTTGTGTGTGTGTGTGTGTGTGTGTGTGTGTATACCTTAAATTTTCATAGATAGATGAATAGAGGATGAATAGACAGATGAATATATATATTCCTTAAATTTTCATAGATACATAGATGAATAGAGGTACTTTGCTTCTAATAGACATATATATTCATTACATTTTTCCTTAATACATTTTTATTTTTATTTTCTCTTATATTTTCCCATGTAAATATGATTCAAAACATTTTATACCATCCTCTATTTAAGGGTCAGATAGTAAAATTTCACAATACAAAATTATTAAAATTCAGACAATTTACCAGCATAATATATGGGTTCACCGGGATATTAAGTTATTCATGTTTCTGAAGAGGCAGAATTAGAATCTGTGATTAAAAGTTTCTGGAAGGCAAATACCAGCTCAATATACAGACTTCATTTCAAACTGTTATATAATAATTAAGTTGTTTCAAAAACACATAAACTCTCATCGCTAAAATATTTAAACAAAAGTAAAAATGTCTGTGTAACATTTTCACTTAAATTGGAGGTTGGACGTTTCAAATTCCAAGATGGTATATTAAGTATAAATTAAGTGTATAATATATGAGAGGTTGGATGGATGTCCAAAAATAAATAAACTTGACTTTATTGAACAGGTATTTTTTAAGTATTTGGGAAAAACTTAAGATAATTATATCAAAATTTAAAATATTGGCTACAGGAGAAATTATTAGTTAGAAGTAAGTTTTGGAAGTGTAAGATTTTTGCTGATGCCTGAAAGAAAGAGTAACTACAGGTGAAAGCTGTATGGAAGGTTTTAAATGGAGTTCTATTAGGTAAAGCACTTTCAGAATCAGACAATTGTATAACTCAAGCGAGATTACTTACCTCTGTGACCCTCTCGAGGCTGGTGGTTAGAGTAGAACACATGTGAAACACATAGCCCTTACCCGTAACAGACACTCAAAATACATTAGCTCCCTTTCCTTGAACTCTCACAAAATAATTTCTACTTAAAACAACTTATGTCACCTTTCAAAGGTTCTACAGCTTCCAGGAGTAACAAATATCCATGGATTTTACACCAGATACTAACACTAATGACGGTCACTGTTAACAGAAAAGCCAGGGAGGTAGTAATCCTTCTAAGTCAAACATTTTCTAAATTGAGGCTGATGCAATCAATTCAAATGATAATACTTATAAATGATAGTATGTTTTCAAATAAATATTCTCTAATTTCAATGACTGTAAAGGCCAACCTATGTTTCCCCCTCTAATATCACATGAAATTGGGTCTCTTTAAAAGATATAATATTAGTCTCAAAGGCTGACATCAAAGCTCCAACAGTGTAATTAGAAATCTTTCAAAGGGCTAACATATTTATCCTTTACAAGTAAACAGAGTATGGACTAAGCCTTCAAGATATCAACACTCTTTGGGATCAGACAGACTAAAACATGGAAACAAACACTTCTCCTATTTCACCTTCCTTCGCTGTCAGGGCAAAGACTCTCACTTTCAGTTCTTTGAAGAGACAGGAGGGAGGGTCCTAATGTAAATGACTGTCCATCTCCCCCACCCAACTCACCTCTGAATATTTTTTAAAATAGATACATGCTTAGCCTAGGACAGACAGATCCTTGATGTGATGTAGTAACTGAGAGTATCCTTCACATTTGGAAAAAAAAGCATCCATTCCAAACTGTCAGTGGAGGAGAGCAGGGTCTTGAAACACAGGAAAGTCAGATTAGATGCAGACTATCCAAATAATATTTGGAACTTACTGAGAATACATTCTCAGATACCCCTGAGTCCAGGGAATGCAGAAGCTTCTCCAGAGGGAGGATAGGGAAGAGAGAGCTATGAGGAAATTTCCTACACTATGCATACCGTTTGAATTGGAGCCAGTTGAAAACAATAACACTCAGATTGGTTCAACTACTTTTGGTACTTCAGCCAGGTTTTAAAGCTAGAAGTAAATTTAAAAACAACTCTTAGATTGGATGGAGTCTTATGAATTAAATTCATTTTTATTATTTTTGACTATTAATGGAAATGATTTGCTGAGAAATAGTTATAAAAATTTTCTATGTAACAAAGTGGCCACTCCCACACGTGTGTTTTCTCCTTTAACTCTCATAACTACTGTAAGTGACAGGTCTTACTATTCTCACATTACCAGGGAACAAATGGTGGCACAGAGATTTTAAGTGGTTTGTCTCATATCACCCAACTAACAAGTACCCAGAATACAAATCCAAGGAATTAGATTCTAAGCAGTCTTAATCATCGCATTCTGTTGCTTCTCAAGGTAACAATACCACAGTTTATAATGTAAGATAAGAGAATGTAGGCACTAAAATGAAAAATGACCTAAAAATGAAGAGGTGATTTTTATCATATTCATGAGATTTAAAAATTAACCCATAGAAGTGCCACTAACAGTTGATCCATATGTTAAATGCAAAGTATGGTAGCTTTATGTTTTAAATTAAAAGAATGCATTGTCTAACAAATAAGAAAATAAAACCTCAAGGATCCCAATTTAAGTAATTCACTGTATTTCAAAAATACTATATGCAATACATCCTCCCTATGAAATCTCCTAGTTTTGAAGATAATTTTATGAGCCTGCACTCCAATTTTGAATAGTGGTGGATTTTTATTACAAAGGAAACTACATTTCTATGGTAATTATCCTACATTACCTTTCCAGCATTCTCGAATTAATTCTGCTGAATGTTTCCTTTTAAGAAGTACTTTCTGCCTTTAACTTTATCATGGCAACAATAAAATGCCTCAACTTAATGATATAATGGAAAGATTGATAAAGTTTATTCAGCAAAACTCTGAAATAGTGTATTTTTATTAAGATAAAAAATTCTTCATGCTACTCTTTGGCCATTGGAAGAACTCAAAAATAAGATTTGTCATAACCCATTTCCATCTTTTATGGGCAATATGTTGTACAGAAAGTAAATACTTTCCTATTAATTTATGACATAGACCATAGAGATTAGTTTCCATTACAAGGAAATGGTGACTTCTCCAGAAAGCAAACTTTTAAAAAAAACCTACAAAGAAATATTTTTTAAAATGTGAAAGGATCTGAGATCAAATTCAACATGTATGAATTAAACTATGTAAAAAATGAAAATAAAAATATAAATCTATCTAATATTTGGTTTTTTCCATAGTATTAATCACTTAGACACCTTGTACTTCTACTCTGCATCTGTCCTTTTGTCCAATGACAAAAAACATTGTGGTTGAACACCATAAAAATTAAGGACAAAATTATAAAAGAAAAATCAAGAATTAGGCTATGGTTCCGGCTACACATTTATTGGTAGCATGCATAATAGCCTGTGCTGTTTCTATCAGCAAAGAGGTTTATTTCATTTAAGCTTTTCTTCTCTGTGCTTCATTATGTTCTGCAGAACCCATGCTGGAAAGTTTAATTTATTTAAATGATAAAAGCTTCTTAAACTTAACAGGGAACATGGCCAGCTGAGCTTTCCATTTCAAAAGTAGGACAGTTGATCGTAAAAATGTTATCAAAATTGAATAATTTGAATGTGTACTGAACTTTGAAATCCAATAAAAGCAATGAAAAAAAAGGGTTAGAATCATTTGTTTAATGACATGGATTTAGTATTATATAATTTGCAGAAAAATTGAGGTGTTTTCTCTCAAATGGCCCATCTCTTTCTCTATCTGTGAGTCCAGGGAATTGACTAGGAATTTATAGCCATATGTGACCAAGCAATGAATGGCTGTGATTCACCTGACTCCTGGGATTCAGCTCGTTTGGTTATTACTCTTTCTCTAAACTTAATCACGAATTCTAACTCCGGTATGTCCAACCCATTCCAACCTGAACTAGTACAACAAAGCACTATTCATTAAACATTACCATGGACACATCAGAAGCTGTAGGTCTCTTAATGAAGGCCTCAGTAATGACCTATTTGTAGATGGCCATTCTACAAACTGGTTTGTGGGCTAATGACAGTGCACCATGCTGTTCTGAGATATGGCTGCCTCAGCTTTACTTTGGTCACTTGTGACAGATATCTGTTACACACTAGTTCATCTCTTCAGGCCCAAAATTAACATTGAGTAAATTATAAATTAATTAGTTAATTAATTGAAAAATAAAGATAAAAGGAAAGAAAGGGAAGTAGAGAGGAAGAAAAAGGGAAGAAAGAAAGAAGGAAAGGAGAAAAGGGGGATTATCTTGTAATTTTGCTAAAGTGTGAAAACTAACAAACATGGATGGGGTTGTTAGTAAGAGGCAAATGCAGAATATTCTAGAATTCCTGATACCAACAAGTAAATTAACTAATGACATGTTCTGGGACACATTTTTCTTTACTATTAAAAGATCATTTATTCCAATTCTCCAGGCTATCACAAATACAATATGTTTTCCACAAACTGTAATAGTAAACTTTGCTAGCCTGGTTTTAAAATCTAGATGTTCAACACATATTTTTTTATTGTTAAAGGTTTTCCATTAAAAAAAATAACAAGAGAAAGAAAACATTCTCAGTTGCACAAATATTTTGATGATTGTAAGGTAAAGCAGATAAGATTTAGATTCAAATATTGTGGGAATCCATGAATTTCTCTTTCATTTTTAGTCTCATTTCTCTTCATCCCGTTGTATGTCAAATATAATAGCATTCTAGGTTTAAAAAGTTACAGAGCAAAATCAAAGCACCTTGATAAGAAGTCAACAAGCCTGCCACAGTCTGATCTTCC